AGCATTTCTGCTGGCTGGAGAGGGCCTCCGGTCTGACCTGCTACTGCTCTTGGCGTGACTTAAGTTGAGGCCCAAAGAGCTCAGGGTCCAAAAATGGAAATATCTCCCCTAGCTGTGGTTTGGTGGGATTGAGGTAAGTCTGGCTTCTGTTCACTTTTCGTGGTAGCCATATCAGCTTGTCCAGAGCCCCAGTCTCACCCCACCACCATGGGGTAGACTAAATGGCTGGCTGTCGCAATCCTTACATGATCTTCTTGTCCTGCAGGTGGATTATGGGGTACAGTCAGGTGTCTCCATAAATGTCTGTGACATGCATATTTCCCTACTGGTATGTCAGCCTGATTAAAAAATCAGTCAAGCGCAAAATTCTGGCCCTAGCCCGAATCAATGAGCCCTACCACTAGGAATGCATATCGTTAAAAATATTTGTGCAACTTCCTCTAATTATATTGGTTAAACAATTAACTGATAATCTAGCATATCCCACGCAGCTGCTTCTGGGAGCCACTTCCAGCTCCTGGGGCCCTTTGACTAGGGGGAGGAAGGGAGGAGGCAAGGCCAGCCAGCCAACGTAGCCCATGTGAAGCCCTTTGCTGGGAGGGAGGGAGCATCTGTGAACCAGCAGCTACTTGCTTAATTGATGAGTTATTAGCAGGGATCCTGGTTTTCTCTGATTTAAAAATTGCAAATTCTCTGATTTAAAAACCCAAAATCCATGATAAAAATTAAAGGCCCCCCACAGACCCCCCGAGCACTGCGGGTGCTCCTCACTCCCCCCCCACAACCTCCTCAGCCCTCCTGATGCCCCTCACTCCCCCACAACAGCCCCCCCAGACCCACACATGCAGGCAGAGGCATGCAGACACAGGTGCACGCGCAGACACTGACACCCACCCCAGCAGGTAAGTGTGTGGGGAGGGAAGAGGCGGGGCAGGGCAGGGGAAATGGAAGGTGCTGGGATGGCAGATCAAGAAGTGGGGGGAGCATGCCCCTGTGCCCACTCCCAGGAGCAGGGCTGGGGAGTGAGGGCAGGGGCACCTGATGGAGGGGGTTCTCACATGGAGGCTGTGGCTGCCACGTGTGGGCTGCATACGTGCTGCCCAGCTGGGAGGAGGGAGCTTGCATGTGGCAGCTGCCACTGTACTGCTTCTTATGCCTGCCACTGGCTGCATAGCTCCATGGCAGTGCGGGGTGGTGGCAGCGGTGTGCCAGCTGGGGTGGGGCTTGTACATGGCGGCTGCCACCTCTGCTACTTGCCTGTAGAGCCATGCCCGCATGGAGGTGGCTTCTGTGTGCGAGGTCCCGTTCCCCCCACCACAGGCCCAGCTCTGCAGACAAGCATCAGCAGTGGTGTGAGGTCGCGGTGGCTGCCGTGTGCGAACCCCCTCCCCCCAGCCTCTGCTGGCCGGCACGCAGCAGCCACCACCAGCATCCCAGGCTACCTCTGCTGCTTGTCTAAGGAGCCGTGCCAACAGATGGGGGGGCAGGGGGGCTTGCACATGGTGGACGCGACTGCTGCGACACTGCTGTGGCCGCCTGCACAGCTCCACAGGCATGGCTCCACGGTGGCAGCAGTGGCATGGGGAGTTTTCACACACAGTGGCTGCCACTGTGGGGATGGCTCCACAGGCAAGTGGCAGCTACTGCTTGTGAGCCTCCTCCCCCCTGCCCCCAATAGTCGTCATCCTTTGCTGCTGCTGTGGAGCCGTGGCCACAGAGCTGTGCAGCTGGCCGCAGAGCAGCGGTGCAGTAGCGGCTGCCTCTTGCAAGACCCTCCCCCTCCCCTGGCCAGCTGGCTGGGGGCACACGTGCAGCCCTCATGCGGCAGCCACCCTGCCCCGTGCTGCTTGTCTGCAAAGCTGTGAGACCAGCTACAGGAAGGCAGTGTGGGCCATGGTGGCAGTGGCAGCCTATGTGTGCATACCTCCCTCAGGCCGTCCGGCTGCTTCTGGGAGTGGGCTGAGGTGGGTGTGGGGGGGCAGGGAGGAGCTGCGGTGTGCCATCTGGGGGCCGATGGTGCCTCCTGCTCCCTCAGTCCCCAGCCACCTTCCCCAGCCCTTCCCCACAACCCTCAAGTCCCACTTACCTCCAGGCTCCAGGGGTGCAGGACGAAGGGCATGCCTGAGCTTGAGTCCAGCCTTGGCTGACTCGAAGCTCAGTCCCCTCCCTTCCTCCTCCCCCTCTGGGTAGGGCTGGGGGTTTTTCACCCTTTCTGCAGTCAGCTCTTGCAAGCTGGAACTCTGCAGGCCTGCAAGAGCTCTTTGCAAAAGCGGAGAATCTGTAGATTTCTCTGATAAAATTGGAATCTGTGGTTTTCTCCATTTTTCCATGGGAAACGGAAAACTCGGATCCCTGGATTAGGCTGCTGGCTGTTTTGCTCTTAGGTTATGTGTACTACTCCCCTTGCCCCGCCCCACCCTCCTGCCTGCCCTGTTGCCTTCTGACTTCTGCTAGGGCACTGTGCAACTCCTCCCCCCTCCCCCTCCCACTTTCTCTGTCACATTGCATTGGCCCCAAGCTAAAGGATAACTGGTAAGCTAACTGCTTATTATCGCACTTATTCGTTAAACGATTAATCATTTAACCTTTCGCATCCTTACCTCATGGACATCTCTGATTTTTACCAGGACCACATATATCCCTCAGGTCTGGGCTCTCCTGCCTCCTCTGACAGAGGCATAAGTGTATCCACAGTCCGTATGCAGGTAGCCCTGATATTGATGGCCTTTCTCTCCCCACCGGAAGCATGTCATCTGAGCCTCCCTTCCTCCTTCTGGGCTACTGAGGTGTGCCAGATGACTTGACTCTCTGGCGGGGCCACCTAAGGGCCGTCCTCCTGGTTGGGGTCTCAGTGCAAACAGAGGTAGTTCCCCTACCGGAGGACTCCCTAAAGACCCATCCTGTTTTCCCAGTAAGCCCAATCTCCTCAGGCCCAGAGTTTGTCAGCCTCCCCAGGAATTCTGAAAATCTTACTCTGCCCAACATGAAGTCCTCAGCTTTCTGGGTGGCTTGTTCCAAGCTGGCCATCCAGTGGTGATACACCCAACTGTGGACTTTTGCTGGGAGGATGGTTCAGAACTGTTCTAATGTTACTGGTTCCACAATCTACATCACTAACTAGGAGTCCAGGTTTAGCCAATGGGTGCACAAGTCTTTTAACTTCTCGGCCATGGCCCAGGGTTCAGTTACTTAGGTCCCAGCCCTCTAACTGAAACTTGTGGTGATAAGCGTTCTTTATTAGACTCTGTTGGTCCAGTGTGGCTGCTTTGAATGTCTTGTAATCCTGGGACACGTCTGCTCCAAGGGCCTGGTTAGTGGCCTGTGCTTTCTCAGTTACCAGAGGGGCCATCCTTGTAGTCCTTGTGTCCTGTGGCCACTAATAGGTCTCTGCCACCTGTTCAGAAGTTTTGAGAGAAGCCTCTAGCTCACTTGCAGGCCCCATCTTGGCGTGGACTCCAGCCTCTATCCTTGAAGATCCAGGTGACTCACCAACATGGGTGGGAGTCTGCCTCCACTTCAACTGCTGTCTCAGGAACTCCTGCTGTTGTAGCTGCTGCTTCCTCTGGAAGTGCTACAGTTGCTGCCGCTGCTACTTCTGGAATTGCTGATGCTGGAGTTGGAGCTGCTGGAACAGCTGCTGTTGTTGCTGCTGCAAGTCCTCCAGCCATTTTATCAGGGCTCTTGCCTCCATTACTGGAGTTGGTTTTAAAATGTCCATGTTCTTCACCATCTGTAGTGGGTTGTCACTGTTTACCGTACAGTTTTATTTTCCTTGAGTCAAGCTTCTTCCCACAGGAAACAACATCATCACAAAACAAACAAATATATAAACAGTAAAGGGCTAACTCACACCCTGCAGTCTTTTGCCAGACCCTGAGAGAGGAATCATGGCTCTGGGCTGCCACATCAGCTTTTCCTGGGAGCTTTAAACTTCTGGTCCACCCAGTCACCATCCAGTCATACCCTTCAGCTGGCCCAGTGCTCTTAGGCAGACAGGCAGTCCCCTTTCAGATGCCTGCAGCTGGGCTACAGCCCCTGAGCCGTACATCCTGTTATATGAACTAACAAGACAGCATTGCTCCCTATTCTTTAAGTGCCAGCTGCAGCTTTTGTGGTCCTTTCTTGCTGTCGTCTAATTTGGCTTGTTCCAAAAGATGCTGAGCACAGTGGCTCTCACTGTTAGTAGTATAGTATAACCTCATAAATCCAGCATCCTTGGGACCTAGCACGTGCTGGAAATTTGAAATTTCCGGATTTTTGAAACGTAAGGAAAGTGCATAGCTTGGTGCTGCCTGGTTGGGGGGGAAAGCTTGCATGTGGTGGCTGTCACCGCCATCCACCACCCCATGCCATTACTCTGCATGTGACCACTCCCTCCTACCCTGTCCCCCTCTCCTGCTACCCCGCTCCACAACCGGCTGCCAGGAGTACATTGGTCAAAAAAGGTTGAAAACCCCTGATGTAGAGAATTTTTAAAAAGTGCTGGATCTTTCAGAATTCTAGAATTTTGAAAGCTGGATTTATGAGGTTATACCGTAATAGATATATGGGACAAGGAGCTTCCCCATTTCTGTGTTTAATCTTCTGTTCAGTATGTTCCATGCACTCTCCAGGCTCTATAGAAATAAGACAGAATGAGCATCAATGTTATTATTTATCTTCATGTTGTTAATTGCCATTAATAAAGTTTTTTTTTCTAGACTACTGGCACCTACTAGCTGCGTATAAGAATGACTGATTTAGACCAGGTCCTTTAATTATCCTGGATATACTGGTATCCAGATGTTTTCTTTGAACCATTTAAACAAATAAATGTGTGAGAGCAGTTATTAACCAAAGTGCTAAGAGGTGTACCACATCATCGTCTGTGGGGAAGAAAGAAACCTTTGACTTTTTATTATAGTTTTATTGTTTTTAAAAAATGGCAAACGTTCTTGACACTTAAAAATTCAAGTTTAAAAATAGCTAATGGATTCATTCACAATTATCTTTTTTTTAAGGAGTTGAAGCTACCATTTACTTTTTTAAGTGGACACATTCATGAGTTAAGAATTCATGTACCCTGGACAAAACTAGGCTCGGAACCAGTTGTCATCACTATCAATACAATGGAGTGCATCTTGAAATTAAAGGATGGAGCTCAGGTAAGAAACTTATAAGTTTATGAACATTGAATTATTAAAATTGAAAGGTTTAAAAAAAAAATAGTTCATGTTGTATTGCAGAAGGCCTTATTTGCTGCCTTGCTTTTCGTTGCATCTCTCAAAAAGCCTGTGTACACTCACTTAGGTGGTAATCCATAGTCATATTACAGGGACTATGATGCTTGCCTCTATACATTTTTTCTTATCTTCTAACTTTATTCGCTATAGTGTTGTTCCTGCAGGTGCAAAAGCAGGTTAATGGCATACTCTCTGCCAGAATTTTCCTATAACTAGGCAGCAAATGAATCTCAAGAGCAATACAACATCCTAAGTACTTCTAGCTTTTACCACCCAAGAAGTTGTGTTCTGTTGCTTGAGAAACTCTAGCACCACAAGTCACTGTTTTCAGAATGTTGTTACTGTAGAAGTGCTTTAAAATTCCTAAAACTTTGATGTACCCACCTTCCGCTTTATGACACTATATAGATTTTAAAATATAGAGTCATCTTGGAGGATGGTGTATTTAAGTGTCTTTAAAAAGCTGTTTATTTTTTTTTTTACATACTCTCACATAATTCATGAATATTTTTACTTCTACTACAATAACATTTTAATTGTGTAGTGGTATCATCTTGGTGGCTTTCTAATTTACTTGACAACCAGAATAGTTGGAAACACTTTGATATCAAAGTTTGTTTTTAGTCAGTATGACAATTTAATTTTAGGTTACTTTTTTCCCCTAGATATATAATTATAGTAGATATTATAATTATAATTACTTCATACTCTTATGTAATAAACATGTAACTTACAGAACAGATTACTTCAGTTTAGTATTTATTATCCATACTTAGGTATCTGAAAATAATTATATTTGTATTAAGTCCCTATTAAAAGCATTTTCTAATGAAAGACCATCTATTTCTGGAATTAGATTATTTTTCTTTTTAACGTTAAAAATACTGGTCATAAGTATGCCACCCATGCAGTGTTCCAAATATATATCTCCAACACCCAGCTACTAAGTATTTTTTCAATGCTAAGGTAGAGATTTCAAGGCCAGATGTCCTATAAGAAACACGTTTTAGAAGCAGCAAATTACAACTAATTATAGAAGCTGCAGAAAAAGATTTGTAACACATGACTTTGTGCAACCCAGAACTAATATTTGATATTGGACCATGCAGATGGCTACTGCTGGAATGATCAGATTTCCTGCTTGCATGGCATTTGAAACTTAAATTTTGTGGTGCATACAGCAAAAGGTCAAGTGTCACAAATGTAAAGCACTCTCAAAACAAGTATTTGTTACAGATGTTTAAGATTTACAGGCAAGAAAGGATTTTTGAAAATTACAACTGACATTTGGACAAATTATTCAGTGGTATGTACACCTTGGGGAGTTAAATTTGGGTCTCTGCCAATGATAGGATTTATCTTTGAGTAATGAAAATGTAGATGAACACACTTTTTGCTGTTTTCTCTGCATATAGTTTTAGGAAGTTATGGGTTTATTTTCTTTCATGAAAAAGGACTTCTATTGGAAATTAAGTGTTAAAGAAAAAATGAAAATGATATATAATGACTTTTCCATGTCAGATACATTTAAGTATTCCCAGCTATTTTAATTTCTGCTATATAATTGTGCAATTGAATGGCCAAGACAGCCTGTTCTCATCAAAATATTTGCTTGTAACCATGGTTGGACCCAGAGGGTGGTGGTTGACAGAAGTCAGTCGTGGTGGTGCCCTGTGACCAGTGGGTCCCTCAAGGCTCTGTCGTTGGGCCAACATTATTCAACATCTTCATTAATGATGTGGACATTGGTGTCAGAAGCGGACTGGCCAAGTTTGCCGATGACACCAAACTCTGGGGTAAAGCATCCCCACACCTGAGGACAGGAGGGTGATCTAGGCTGACCTTGACAGGCTCAGGAAATGGGCGGACAAGAACCTGATGGTGTTTAACACTGGAAAATGCAAGGTTCTCCACCTTGGGAAGAAAAACCCGCTGCATGCTTATAGGCACAGCAGTGCTACGCTGGCTAGCACTATGGACAAAAAGGACTTGGGGGTCATGACTGACCACAAGATGAACATAAGCCTTCAATGTGATGTTGAGGCTAGTAAAGCGAGCAAAACTCTGGCTTGCATACATAGATGCTTTTCAAGGAAATCCCAGGATGTCATTCTCCCATTGTACTCAGCCGTGGTGAGGCTGCCGCTGGAGTAAGCTCTGCAATTCAAAAAGGATGTGAAGAAGCTTGACAGAGTGCAGAGGAGATCCACATGCATGATCAGAGGTCATGAAAACAGACCTTATGATGAGAGGCTGAGAGCCATGGGACTCTTTAGCCTGGAAAACCGCAGGCTCAGGGGTGATCTGGTGGCCACCTATAAGTTTATAAGGGGTGCTCACCAGGATCTGGGGGGGATGTCTGTTCACCAGAGCACCTCAGGGGATGACAAGGTCAAATGGTCACAAACTCTTTCAGGACTGTTTCAGGCTGGACATAAGGAAGAGCTTCTTTACTGTCTGAGCCCCCAAGGTCTGGAATAGATTGCCACCAGAGGTGGCTCAAGCACCTACTTTGAACACCTTCAAGAGAACTTTGGATTTTTATCTTGCTGGGATCCTATGACCCCTGCTGACTTCCTGCCCCTGGGGCAGGGGGCTGTACTCAATGATCTTCTGAGGTCCCTTCCAGCCCTAACGTCTATGAAATCTATGAATCTGAAGATTTGATGCTGGTTTGGATATAGACATAGCTTTAAATGTTTTTTCTAAACACCTCGAGGTACCAGGTGTGGCTCGTGAGAGCTGTGATGCTGGGGCAGGTGGAGCTTCCCACAGGAGTGCGGTGGGTCCCCCACATGCTTGGTGGCAAACCCAGAAGTGGACCAGAAGTACTTCTGGTTCACGTCCAGGTCCTCTGGGAAGCGTGCTGGGGGGGCCCTGCACCCCCTGGCTTGGTGATTGGCTGCGGAGGAACCCCGGGTGCCCCCCCAGACCCAGGAGACACCAGTCACTGAGCTGGGGGGGGTGTGGGGGGACCCCTAAGTGCGTTCTCTGGCGGACCCAGAAGTGGACCAGAAGTGCTTCTGGTCTACTTCCGGGTCTGCTGCCAAGTGCGTTGGGGAGTCGTCCCCCCCCACCGCACTTCTGTGGGACACTCCATGCACCCCACCATTGCAGCATTCACAAGCCACGCCTGGTACCTTGAGGTATGTAGAAAAAACATTTAAAGCTGTTTCTGTGTTTGAATCACCGAATCTTTCCAAATCTCTCTGAATCGATTCGGAGGCTTCCGATTCGATTTGGAGAGATTAAAGGGTCTCCTGACTTGACTCAGAGATTCGGCCACCAAATCAGCCCAAATCTCCGCTGAATTGAATCGGGGATTGAAGCTTCGCACAGCCCTAGTTGGTTTCCCTGTGCTTTCTATACCCTAATGATGTTATTTTGACATCTTGTTTCAGTTTTGAATCCCTACTTTGTATAAGTTGACGCACCAATGCTTACCAGGGAGGAGAGTCAGAATTACTTACTTATTTTTTATTACTTCAGTCCCTGGGAATTATGGCTGTGGATTGGGACCCCATTATACTAGATGCTGTACAGGTATAGCAAAAAACCCCAAACCCTATCCTAAGGAGCTTAGGGTCTAAAACAAGAGACAGCAAGTGGAGAGATGAAACGGTGAGACTATTGGTCAGCACATTAGTCTCATCAGGATGCATTAGCCTGTGCAGAGCTCTCTGGTAATGTGTCGGTTGTTTTTAGTACCCATTGTAACCTGTTTAGACCTAGCTCAGCTATGTGAATGTAGCAGTGTTTTGTGTTGTTGCAATCCAGCCTGTCAATTTATCTACACTCATCTTGGAAGGGAGGTAGCTTTTAAGTTAGCTAATCAGTAGCAACTACCTCAAGTATTTGAGAATGGTGATTGGGCCCTAAACAGTTACTACATTTTTTTAGTGAAATGTTTGTCTTTTGGTGTCTTACCCTTTCACATACTCTTGGTTTACGTTTTCAAGTCTTTTCTTTGCAGTCAGGAAGGCTGGAAGCATTTTTTTTTAAAGCAGAGCGAGCAGAAATCGCATGTTGGCCATGCTTTATAAGAAATGAGGACTGCTGAGTACTTTTATGCATGCTGGAATTGATCTAAAAATGATTGAGAGAGTGTTCACTGCAGAACAGTGCATTAATCTCCACTATTCTTGTCTTGTGGAAAAGCTGCGGTATTAAGCAAAGTAGTGTGAAAAGTAACTTAAAAAAGTGAAGAGAGATGAAGGGATTTGAAATCTGAGTATTAACTGTAACTTTTTTTTAATGATTCAGCTGCCTGCTTTCATACTTTTGTTTGCTTTGGTAGAAAGTGTGCATGTATTGTTTTGGTTTTTTTTAAAGCACGTATCCTACTTTAATACTCAGATTTTTTTTTTAGTTTAGTAAATTTGTCTATAATACCAAGGTTTAATCTTTGTGTATGAATGCAACATTGAAAGAGTGAGACCTGTCCTTTAGGCACTAATCCAAGCAATCTGGGCTGGCAGCCAGTGTTCCTTGAACTCGGAATCTCAGGTTAACTCCAAATATGATGTTTCGTGCCAATCCCTACTGCTTGTATTTTTGTTTAAAACCTAAATATAACCAGTATTGCAGCAAAAGGCCATGTCATCTAATCATGTGTCCAAATATAGTTTTTTGTATTATTTTCCTTTTTTGAGATTCATATTCCCTTGCTTTAGCTCTGTTACAGAACCATCAGATTTAGGAGTATTGCTTAGACGAAAGAAATAGAGTAATAGGTAGTTAATACTATTAGACTTGCTTTAAAATTGGGACTACAGGTCTTTTGGGGGGGAGGCATGTCTGCTTCAACGCTCTTGCCTGTAGATCATCTCAAACTTCCGCTTATACTCTTTTATCTTTTCTTTTTTAAATTCAACTTTAGCCTGTATACTTGCAACATCTGGAAAAAGTTAATAAGGTGGGCA